GTGTTTCAGACATTTTAATGCTTGTTACAGGTGTGTTTCAGATGTGTTTCAGGTGTGTTTCAGACATTTTCCAACTTGTTTCAAGTGTTTTTCAGGCTTGTTTCAGATGTGTTTCAGTCGTGTTTCAGACATTTTAATGCTTGTTACAGGTGTGTTTCAGATGTGTTTTAGGTGTGTTTCAGGCTTGTTTCAGATGTGTCAGGTTCTGAATTGAAGTTTGCAGCAGGCTCCGTGACTGACTTGCTCAGCTGTGAACATTGTGAGTAGTGTGAGATGTTTGCTTCTCACAGAGATCAGTGCTGCAGCTCAGTGCGCTCCTCCTGCCAGCCTTTCATTTCCTTCTACTGAACCTACTGACAAACTGCTACAGCAGTCCTTACAATCACAGGAGCTCAGAGAAGTTTCTGATGGTTATCCGCCATGTACGACCTCACAAGCCCGTTCCTATTTGCTGTAGCAGCGCCAACATCTGGAGCCAGGGAGGCTGTCAAAATAGCCGTCCACTTACTTTCTTCTGCGTGTCTAGGAGTAAACAGACATCCGGAGCTCGTTTCATTTTTCTGAAATATGAAGCTGGAAGGCGGGCTCTGGTTGCACTCGAGAAAGGGTCATTGTGCGGTGTGACCTGTCATGTGATCTCAATCCCAGAATATCCGAGGACGGGTTGGGTTTATTGTCCTTTCTCCTGTTTGACACAGATGCACCGCAGGCCGGAAACTGAGGACCTCTGCCTCAAACACCCCAGCTCACAGACACCACGAGCTGCTGCTAGCGCCCCCTGTTGGCTACACCTGCTGTCAGCGCCTTATCAAGACCTGACCCAGTGAAGACGTTTCTCTAAAGCAAGGACTTTTAAACACAGTCCGGACTTTTCCAGTGGGGAATTTTTAAAGGGACAGTGTTAATGACGTTTTGGGAACGGGGACACATTTACAGAGTGAGCAGAAAAACAGGGAATGAGGCTTTTCTCAGCTGCTGTGAATGGACTGTGAAGATGTTTCAGGATGTATGATATCCTGCTAGCATCTGCTGGGGGTTGCAGTTTGTCCAGTAGGTGGCGCTATGATTTGTTCTCTCTAACATTTTGTGTCCTCTTTGTGTCCGTAGCATCAGCATATGCCAGCCTGCAGCAGCACGGCTCCGAAGGCGTCCATGGGAAGTCGTCCCCGGTTGCCGTCTTCGTACCCCGGCCGGATTACCTGGAGGGGGACGAGGACACGGACCTCATCAAACCCAAGAAACTGGTGAATCCAGTCAAAGCTTCGAAGAGTCACCAGGAGCTTCACCGCGAGCTGCTGAGCAGTTACAAACGGTAACGCTCTGATTAGTTTTAATTTTCCAAAGAATGAAGAGGAAGAAGAAGGGGCGGGGTCAGACAGCGTGACCGAAGCTCCCACCTTCAGCTTTATTCAGACTGTTTAAATCCACTCATGTTCAGTTATGAAAGCTGAAAGTTTGAACTCGAGTCACGCCATCTGAACCCGCCTGTGTCTCAGGACGCAGTCAGAGATGTGTTTTTAGATTATTAGAGATGAATTTCATGGAACATTTGTGGACTACTTGAATGACTCTAAATTGTCAGAAATCTTTCAGTCCGGCTTTAAGCCATTCCACAGCACGGAGACAGCCCTCGTAAAAGTTATGAATGACATCCTGATAGCGACAGACCGTGGTAAATATGCAGTGCTGGTCTTGTTGGACATG